CAAGCTTGAGGTCCCAGGCATAGAACTGGGCAGTGTCGCAGGCAAAGGAGTAGAAGAGGCTGCCCTCACTAATGAGTAGAAGAGGCGGCCCTCACTAACAAGTTTTTACAGGACAGGGGAGGGCCTAGAAATCAACTAGTCTAACTTATGATCATGTTTCACAGATGAAGAAACTGAGGCCCAGAGAGAAATGCTGTTTTCAAGTCATTGCAAGTAAATACTAGAGGCTGGGCTCGAATTCAAATGTCTTTCCTCTCTACCACCCCTCTTTCTTCAGCTGGAAAGAGAATTAGGTGAAAAGAAGACTTCAGGGCTCCTGTCCAGCAATGAAATGGAACATGTTTGGATTAATACACTCTTTTAGGGGGATGTAAATGTCAGTATATTACTTTTTTAGAGTTCCACTTCATATACTTTAAATTCTGAAAACAGATTCTCACACTGTAAACTGGAGTTATGGGAATCACTAGTTGGAAATACAGTAGCCCCTTTTAATCTGTGGTTTTACTTTCCAGTTTCAGTTATCCACTATGAACTGTAGTCCAGGATATTAAATAGAAAATTCCATAAATAAATAATTCATCAGCTATATTATGGCCATTCTGAGCACCATGGCGAAAACTGCTGTTTTGCTCTATCAGAATGTGCATCACCTCTTTGTCTAGTGTATTGATGCTACATAACTCCCTGCCCAGTAGTCACTTAGCCATCTTGGTTATCAGATCCACTGCTGTGGTATCACAGTGCTTCTGTAAAAATAACCCTAATTTTACTTAGTAATGGCTCAAAAGTGATGCTGGCAGTTCAGCTATGTTGAAGAGATGCTGTAAATACAGTGCTTCCTTTAAGTGGAAAGGTGAAAGTACAATGAGATATTTTCAGAGACCATGTTCACATGCTTTTTATTATGTCATATTGTTATGATTGTTCTATGTAATTATTGTTTTTAATCTCTTAATGTACCTAATTTATAATTAAACTTATTATGGGTATGTATGTATAGGGAAAAACATAGTTATTTACAGATGCCCCTCTGTTTAGGACAGATTTACATCCTGGAAAACCCAAGGTAAGTTTAAAACATCGCAAATTAAAAATGCATTGAGTGCACATAGCCTATCAATTATCATAGCTTAGCAATGAAGAGCTTTCTTTCTCTTCCTGATCACATGGCTTACTGGGAGCTGTGTTTCATCGATGCTGCCCAGAATTATGAGAGAGGATCATACCACACATCACTAGTCCAGGCAACAAGAAATATTTAAACTGTGAAATACAGTTTCTACATTACTTTCACATCATCTTAAGGTCCAAAAATTATAATGTGAACTAACGTAATCTGAGGACCATCTATGCTATCCAAGATTTCAGGCATCCTTGGGGGACACTGAAACTACAGTACAATACTGCACCCCTTACAGAGAATATTCACTTGCACCTCAGGATAATTTGTCTTGGGTATTACCTACTTATAGTTGTCATTCATATACAGAGAGCTTTCATAAGAAGCCTAAAACAAAGAGGCATGTAGAGGCTTTAGGTTAATACTGGATTCTCTGGCATAGTGGAAGGAAGAGAACCTCATTAAGAGGAGAGTGCAAGGTACTATTTTCTAGAATGCTGTCTACTTTAATAGATTTAGAGTCACAGAAAGTGATGTTTTCACCAATCTTATCTATGGAAGTCTGAAATTATGGTTAGCATACTAGTACGTGGTGGAATTTAACTTCTCATTAAAATTATTTATCTTGCTTTATTATTTTTAATGACTATTTAAGTATTATTAATTTTAATGGCTATGTTTATTACACTTATGCCTCCCCCTTGTGGGCAAGATATGTAAGGATCTGAGTTGAAGGGCTCAAGATTTGGAAACATTTCATATACATATATCCAGGAAGTTAGCCTTTAGGAATCAGCCTGTTATCTTCCTCTTCATCATCAGAGATTCACTTCTGATATTTAAAATTCTCCTACTTAACACAAGTATCAGAGCAAAGGTTAACCAAAGCAGAATCAGTTATTTAGGCGATATAATTACAATATGCAATAGGCACAAATGGCTTTTTTGTGTACTTCGTATAACTGTCCAAAAAAGTGAAGTCCTTGATGAAGTATAGTCTTTGATTTTAGTCACCATTTTATCCTTAAGCTTTTGACAAGGGTTTTATATGTATAGTAAGCAGTCAATTAATATTTCTTTAATAAAGTATTTTATAGTCAGCCTTCCATATCCACTGGTTCTGCATCCTTACATTCAACTGACCATGGATTGAAAATACTCAAAAAAAATGCATCTGTACTGAAAATGTTTACATTTTTTGTCTTTATTCCCTAGACAACCCAGTATTATTATTATTGTTATTTACATATCATTCAAATTGCATTAGGTATTTTAAGTAATCTAAAGATGATTTCAAGTGTATGGGGAGGGTGTGTGTGTGGGTTATTTGCAAAGACTGTGCTGTTTTATATAAGAGTTTTGAGCATCTGTGGATTTTGGTATCTGCAGGGAGTCCTGGAAAAAATCAATCCCCCACAGATACAGAGGGACAACTGTATTTAGTACAGATTTGTGTTTTTTCTTCAGTCTCCAATATACTTTATCTTTAGAGTCCAAATGCTTTCTATGAAGAAGCAAAATGAAGGAACATTCTTAATAGTCATCTGACAAAAAACATTCCATTATTCTTGACATTAAAAATTGAATGCAGTTTTAAAAAAAATGAACATTAACATAATCTGTTTAGAATCACATTTTCCAGTGATTAGAATTTAGTTTTTGCCTAGAAAAGAACTGAAGATAGTGGCTGAGAAGTGCATGCCTTATGAAAGACATGTAAATGTAAGGATGATTAATATTGAGCATTTGAAAATACATTTTGTCCTCAGGGGAAACAATTTTAGTTTCTAAAGAGTATTCACTTCTGACATCTCAATTCCTGATTTCAGTGGCTGCACACTGTGTACCTCTGTGCCACATTTAGGACAAGTAAAGTACATGTCAAATAAGAAACTACTCTTCACACAGTAACAGCAGAAGATGTGTTCACATCCTATGGTGTGAGGCAAGGTGGGCCACTCTCCACACAGAGAACATTCTTTGCCACTGGTGGCTAATGTACTGTCACTATTTGGTGCACCAGTAAGGGGGATACACCATGAAGATAATTTGGGTTTCAATTTCTGGATATTGATAAGTGGTGAGGGAAAAATCAGAAACTCAGCAAAACCATGCCAGAGGAGTTCCCTATTCATATACTCAATGCCAACTTCATGGATATTTTGGCGCTTGCAAAATACAGAATGAACGCCTAGGAGACATTCTGTTAAAGTTGCAAACTTTCCTCTTTGAAGGAACATCAAAAAAGTAACTAACCTAATTTCAAAAGTCCAAACATGAAATTCACACATTGTTTGACTTTCCCAAATGATGCTAAATGATGATTTCGAAACTAATCATAGCATTGTTCTTCTAGCCACCTCCCACCAATGGTACATGCAGCATACCAGAGTTTCTGATTTTTACTTGGTGGATGATATCTTGGGTTTGGGGAAAAACTGTTTCTGTACTGAATATTCAAAACTGATTGTCCCACAGTGGCATTTTTGGAGTAGATGGTGAATCGCCATAAGAAAAGCCACAAGAATGCTTTCACTTCTGGTTCAAAGCAAGCTAACAGCCCTGCCTTAAATCCATGAAAGCACTGAGCAAACTGAGACCAAACTAGCTGCTCCAGGGCCTTGTTTAGTTCAAGTGCATCAAATTGACTTATTCTTAGCACTCTGTTGGTACTCTTAGTATCCCCTTCTCTGGGCGCCATGTCTTCTCTGAAGGTCTCTTTTCCCCTTCTTGCAGCTCCTTCAAGACTTGACAGCCTATAGCTATGGCAGTGGGGGTCTTTGCTGCAATTTCTTTTGTGAAATCTTTACCTCAGTCTTGCCAGGAACTTAGGAGTCTGCGAAATGCCCACGCTCCATGGAACTTTTTCAGAAACATTCTCTGGAAACTTTGCCTTTTCCTAGCTGAATCTGAGTTACACAGGCTTCTGGAACTTGTGGGCTTAAAGAACGCGGACGAGCTGAAGGGCCGAGGAGCCGAAGGGCCGAAAAGCCAAAGGGCCCAGATTTGTTAAGGAATCAGCCAGTGGGGCAGAGCCAATTATCTGTACATGTTGGTTGCTTTATAAATTGAAACTAGATATAGATTAGTCCAGTAAAAGTAGGCTACATATTGGTATAAGTTTCTTTTGAAAAGGAAGAGTAAGAAGACAAGTTATCTCTTTGTAACTTACTCTAGGCAGCAACCCTACATGTACTAACTCCCTGCAGTGGGTGGCAGTGATGGTGGTTTGTCCTAGGGCTAGACCGTCAGGTTCTAATCTATGAAAAATAGCCACCAAGAAAAGGTTAGGCATTCACCCTTCACTTAGCCTTATTCCTCTGAAGACCAAGTGGTGAGAAAAATGGGAAAGGTGACTGTTAATGGCTTTTTTGAGGTGTTCCCCCAAAGGCTCATAGTGTCATAGGTAAGGGTTTTTCAGAGGTGGCTGGATCTAGAGTGTGTGATGTTGGAATTGATTCATGGTGCAATGCTAGGATCAAGGGCACTAGGATTAAGGGTGTGAGTGCTACCTACCCTAAGTAGTCTAGATAAGATATAAAGGATAGAAAGAGCTGTAGTTGTCTCTTGCTTGCTTTGTTGCCTTTTGCCCATTATGAATTGTTTCTCCTCTGCCATGCCTGTCTGCCATGCCACCCTGCCTTGGAGCCAGACAATTATGAACTAAATCCCCTACAAACTTTGAGCCAAATAAATCTTTCCCCCTTAAACTTTGGGTGTTGGGTATTTTGTCCCAGCAATGACAGAAAAGTTACTAAGACCGTGACAAAGCACAAGGGCCAAAAGGAAATCAAACTCTCTCCTCATTCTCTTTCCTGGCCACCCCAGAACCCCCAAACCCCTGTGCCCTGCTTCTGGGTTTTGAGAACACACTTACTTGGCAGCAGCATCTTTTCTCAACTGTTCATGCTTCATGAGGAGGTTCTTCCGGTCTCGGAAAGCTTTCCTGACCTTGTACCCTTTGTAGACAGCTTGGATTTTGAAGGCAGCAATGTCTTGTATGGCTGCAATGGACAGGGCACCATGCTCCAACATGAACTGGATCACTTCATGGCGCTCACCAAGCAAAGCGTAATCAAGGGGTGTGTACCTGAAGCAGGTAGGAGATATTTTTAAAAAATGGAATGTTATTCACGGCAAAGTTAAACAAGCAATATTATCATGCAGCAGAAAGAAGCCTCATTCTGAGATGAGAGACTTCCCCCAGGCAAAACCACCTTCTCTAGTCCAGGGCTGATCCTGTTTCCTCAGTGGGGTGAAAAAAGATTTGAGGGTCAGGTGCTTTCTGCTACTGACCATGTCAATTTGTTCACTGGCTCACAAACTGGAGGTCTTGGGGAACACAGGATCATTTTCCTTCTTTCCCATGTGCCAAATAATTCCTGTTCCTATCTGAAAAGCGACTGCAAATTGTATTATGTGAGAGTCTTACATTTGAGCCCACAGTTACTGATAGTTAATGCTCATGAAATAAAAAATATACCTCCAAATGGACAGATTCAGTGTATGATAGGGACGGTCCTTTAAATCACTCCAGAAAAGATACAGTATTAATAAATAATGTTGGTACAACCAGGTAGCCATCTGGGATGAAAGAGATTCTCATATTGCATCTTATACCAAAATAAATTTTTGATGGAGCAAATATCTAAATATAAAAAGGAAACTATGGCTGGGGATTTAGCTCAGTGGTTCCAGTGCCTGGCTTGCAAGTGCAAGGTCCCAAGTTTGATCCCCAGTACCAAAAACAACAAAAAAAAGAACAGTGATAAAAGGAAACTATGAAGGTGCTAGAAGATCTCATGGAAGACTAAAAAATATTGAAGTGAGAAGTCCTTTCTAAAAAAAAGATGCAAAACAGAAACCATATGAGACTGATAAATATGAATACATAAAAATAAAATTTTGCAGGGCAAAGATAACCAAGTTTTTCTTTTTTAAAAGAAAAGAATTACTTTATAAAAATGATTTCTATTTTAAGAATTCCAAACAGTGAATAAAAGTACAAAAATGAATTAAAAATAAGCTCCCAATGATGATAACGATGAGTGTCACTTCTTAAACAATTTACTTGATGTTTCTAAGCCCCAGCTTCCCTTATCTGTGAAACACGCTAATACACAGAAGATGCAGCAATGAATATAAAGGAGACTGCATTGTGCCTGGCACAAAGGAAGCAATTAATACATTTCAGTTACTACCCTGTAATTTATTATTACCGGACCTACACTGCAGCTTACTCCATGATGCCATAGTTGCTGATCATAAATCATATTACTACAGGTCTCAAATTAGTATTCATGAACACCTAGTGACTGCCACTGATGCCGCGTCCTCTTCAGGTGACAGCGACTAGTCAGTGCAATCAGAAACAGGAGGAAACGATCAGCTGATTCAGGAGGTGGAAAAATGATTATGGGGATGCAGGATTAGCCTCAGAATCATACAATGATTACAGAAAAACAGAAGTAACCTCTCTTTAAAACTTACCTAACAATCACAGTGAGACAAAAGTAACAGATTTTCAGAATAAGAATGATTTGGTGACTTCAGTAGGGAAACCCTGAGTTCAGAGTCCCAAGTGCTGGAATTAAGGAACCCTCACACCTCAACTTGCCACTACTGTTCAGAGACCAGAAGTCCGTAAGTAAACAGGCCTGTATAAACTTTCAAACATTATAAGTAGATGGTATTTTGTGTATTCAGAATTTTTTTTAAGTTTACTATTTATTATAAAATGCCTTTCACAGCTGTACTTTCACTAATGGAAAAATTACAGTACTATTTAAACATGGTGTATTGTACGAAAAAAAGACACCGAGGCTCTATAAACAAGATGTACAGAGCTGTATAAGAAAAGATGCATCGTAAGTCCAAGAGGCAGGTCATAAGTGTGAAAAGGGTGCCTCAGTCATAAGTCTGGATAGTTGTCATTAACAATCAACATAACAGGTAGGTCATTAATCAAGGAATATCTGTACTAATAAAAACTAAAAAACAAATCAATGTGCAAACAACGTATATATTTAGTAGGCTTGATAATTTTTCCATAATTATTAATAGGTAGTGTTCTTCATATATAGAGAGACACAATAGTCAACATTTGGTTTAAGAAACATAGAACCCAAATAATGCCTTTACTTAGAAATATGACAAAAGGAAGTAACATGCAGCATAATATGCCCTAAAGAATGATGGACTGTTGCCCATCAACTGGAGACTGGATAAAGAAAATGTGGTTTTTTTATAAAATGGAGTACTACTCAGCCATAAAAAATGAGAAATTAGAGACATTTATAGCTAAGTGGATGCACATTGAGGCAATACTCTTAAGTGAAATAAATAGGACACACATGTATAAATACTGAATAGTTTCTCTGGTGTGAGAAACTGAAAGTGTAAATAAGGACTAAATGTATAATAGGTAATGTGAAATAAGAAGAAAAGGGGCAAAGGGGAAGGAAGTGGGAGGGCTAGGGGAAAGGATAGAAGGGAATGGGATTAATACGAGAAAATGGAAAAATAGGAACAAAATCTTTGTAAAAAGGGAGGAATGGAGGGGTCGAAGGGAGGGCTGGGCAAGGGTGAAAAATAAGAACCAAGAGAGAATATGTAAAGGTGCAAATTTCCAATGATGAATGTCATTATATTGTACACCTAAAATGTACCAATGATTAGAATAAATAATCGATAATGCAAAATAGGAAGAAAAGGTTCAAAGGGGTAGGGGTAGTGGGAGGGGCAGGGGAAAGGAAAGAAGGGAAAGGAAAAATGATGAGAAATGGAAAAAATGGAAATAAAGTCTTTGTAAATAGGTAAGGGTGGAGGGCGTGAAGGGAGGGCTAGGAATGGGGAAAAAATAAGAACCAAGATGCATTATGTAAAGGTACAATTCCCACTGAGAAATGTAATTGTGTTGTATACCTACAATGTACCAATAAAAGAATTTAATACAAAAAAAAATGATGGACTGGGAGTTGGGAGGCCTGTGTGACCCTAGGAATTCTTTAACTTCTGTCAGCATCTGTCTCCTCATCTGTAAAAACAGAAAAAAACAAAGGGAGAACTAGATTCCTTAGGCTGCTTCTGCTTCTGGATTGAAATCACATCTTAAATATTTTTTAGCATGAAAAAATTATATTTTATTAATGAAAAATTTAAGCATAAAAGTAGAGAATATCATAGTAATCCTCTAAACACTTGTTTCTCAAATTTTAATGATCAGAAAGATTTCTTTTTGGTACTGGGGATCGAACTCAGGACCTTGTGCTTGCAAGGCAGGTGGCAGCACCACTAAGCTACATCCCTGTCCCCAGAAAGATTTTTTTTACTATATTCACCTTTCCTGATCGATTCCTTTTTATTTTTGCTGAAGTATTTGAGAGCAAATCTTGAAATTCCTATCATTTCATCTCTATGCATTTTAGTATTAATCTAAAAATAATAGGAATTCTTTAGTAAATCTAATGCTACTCTACAATCATATTTCCCCAAGTTTTCTCAAAAATGTGTTTTATTTATTCAAATTAAGATTTTCAGAAAATTTTTTATTTAAAGAGGTAGAATCCAAATATCTAGCAAAGTTATAAGATTGAAGTCTACACATAGGGTTTAAGCAACTGACCACGTTATTATTATTACTACTCAATCTTTCTTTATCCAAGATTCAATTTAGAAACATTCGAGTACTGTGAATAGTCCCATCAATGTTAGAGTGTAGCTGTCAGATAGTTATTGACTAAAAGCCAGCAGGAGTCGGCAAAAATTATGTCTATACAGTGTACATCAACTGCTTAGTGTCAATGCATAAGAAGTAAAAATTAGCACTACATTGATGGTAACCAGCCAAGAAACACTGTAGATAAAGACAAGAGATAATACGTAATTGGACTTGCCACGTGGGAATTGTCTGATGGGCTCAGTAGAATGACTAAACCAGAATGTCAATAAACATAAAAGGCAGTGCCACCTTCTCACATTTGTACATCAAGGTGCATTGCTGATGAAACATTAAAAGAGACTAGGATATGGCCACTGTCTCTTTTTATCTGTGTATTGGCAAGTACAGTTTTTCCTTCAGTCTTTCGGTCTGAAATTAACATATGCTTCTTCCAGGAGGCAGTAAGCACCTTAATTCATGCAGTTACTTAGGTTTGAAATTCAAAGCTTAGTATGTAAATGGGAAGCGAATTAATAAAAAGTGTCTTTTCCTTTTTTAAAAAAGCAGTCAAAAAATAAATAAAATAAAAAGAAGCAGTCAAGTAGCAAAGCTGTTACAGAATACTATTATAGCTCAGTGGTTCTGTGGCCTGCCTCACAAGAACAAGGTCCTGAGTTTGAACCCTGGAGCTGTTAAAAAAAAAAAAAGAATACTATTTTGGAATAAGCTTTTTTTTTTGGTACCGGAGATCAAACTCAGGACCTTGCGCTTGTGAGGAAGGCAGTGGAACCACTGAGCTAAATCCCCAGCCCGTGGAATAAGCTTTTTATAGAAACAAGTATCACTAACTTTTAAGAGTCTTAATATTTACATTTTTTAAAGAGCTTCAAAGAGAAAAATATTTAGTTCTCTCACCAATGAGGACAAGTTCTGAAGGAAGTGAGAAAGGGACTGGTTCTAGGAAGGAAGAACATGGTTCCACTGAAATGGCTGCCTTAGAAAAGCCCCCCATTCTCTATTAAGTTTCCCACTTGCTAACAAAACAAAGAAGCGGCAGTGGCTAAGAGGATGGGGATAGTGTCATAACAGGGGTCACTGTAGTCAGAGCATCAAACCATGAGCACTGACAACTAACCAACCTGGCTGGGAGGGACCTCGGGTATGGAGGGCTGATCACAAATAGCTGTTACCTATGAATTACTATAATCTTTCTAGATCCAAGACCAGCATTGCTTAGACTTCACACTGTGTCTGGTCCTTTTCATTGGGTCTGGGTCTTTGGATAACAACTTGAGCATAACTCTATGATCCTTATATTATTCAAGAAAGCTATATTTATAGATCAAGTGCTGAATTTACATCTTAGAGTCTCCGTGTTTTCATGCTACATCGTGGCACCATTTGGTCCCTTGATAATATCCTCTTCATCAAGAAAAGTCTCTAGAATATATAATATATTCTGCTGGTCTAGATGAATTCCTGGTCAATCAGGTCATTCCAGACTTCACTGACCACGAGCCAGACAAAGGCACAAGTTTCCTTATCTGCAAAACACAAACTTGCACCAAGTAATAGCTAAAGTTCTGAATAGATACAAAATGCCATGATTCTAAATCAATGTTGCATGGAAATTTTGCTCGTTTTTTTTGGTTCAAGACTTCATAAGTGTTTTGCTTCCTTATGAATATATTTATTACTTCTGAACCAGTATCTAAACATAAGATCATTTTAACCTTGCAGAAAGAATGTGAGATGAACAACAATATATGATTAAATTTTTTTAAATCAATAGCTTACCTTTCTTCATTGTTTTCCATCTGATTAGGGAAAGCAGCAAAGTCTAGCAACAATTTAATGGCATCAAGGTATCCATTGTTACAGGACCAGTGCAAAGCTGTTCTTCCCTACAAATATGACCAAAAATGAAGAACACCTGGAGTAAGTAGATTTGGACATATGGGTATTTATGCTAATTCAAAAATATAAATGATTCTTCCCCAAGCTGTTTAATTATCAAAATGGATAATATTAACTACAGTGTGAAGAAAAGAGATGGCATCTTCACCAAGTGTTCATAGTGTGAAGTTAGGGTTCAATACCACTTCTGTAATATTCCAGCCAACAATGCAAAATTTGAGACTAATTATGAGAATATAAGACAAAGCCAAATTGAGTCAAATTCAATAAAATAAATGACCTCTATTCTTAAAAAGTTCTAACATCACAAAAGATAAAACATCATGATGCACTGCTAGAGATATATTGAATATTATTAAAGGTGCACAACTCTAAATCTGTATACATCAAATAACACTGCTTCTAAATATATTGGGCAAATTTGACAAAATTAAAGGAGAGATAATCAAATTCATAATCACACTGGAATACTGTAACTCATTGTTTATATTAGTTGATAGGAAACACTGACAAAACCACACTAAAGATACAGAAGACCTAAACTACATAAATTTAAAGATTTGCCCTAAGTAATATATATAACATTATTTATTATATATACTTATTTATATTGTATATGTAAAACATTTACATATAAAACAGTTATATATATATATATATACAAAAACAAATATATGAAATCTGTCTATTTATCTATTTCATTCAACAATGCAATGGACAAAGAAAAGCAGTTCTTGTCTTGGTGTCCAGGAAGCAGAGAGCAAAAAGAAGAGCCAAGGAGGAAGACACATGCTCCCTCTGACAAGATCCTACCTCCCAACAGCAAGTCAGCTATATTGGCCCCATGATTCAATCACCTCCCAAGAACCCCACCTAGGAGCACATGAGGCCTTTGGGGGACATTCTAGATTGAAAGCATAGCATTCCTCCCTTGGCTCCCAAAAGACTCATGTCCATCTCTTTGCACAAAATCCATTTAGTCCATCTCTAAGAGTTGCCAAAGTCCTAACTGTTTCAGCACTGCTGAAAAGTCCAAGTCCAAAGTCTCCTCTTTAGCAAACTCAGCCATGAGCCCCTATAAAAATGAAAAACAAAGTTGAGCACTGCCAACATATACAATGGCACAGGGTAAATATTCCTATTCTAAAAAGGAGAAATAGGGGGACAGAAAGGAATGGGACCAAAGCAAGACCAAAATCCAGCAAGCAAACATTAAATCCCTTAGCTCCATGCCTAGAATCCAGGAAAAGAAGTAGCAAGATGTGAGCTCCAAAGGGTTTGAGCGGCCTCACCCCTACTGCATTGCCAGTTGCCGCCCTTATGGTTTCTCTCTTGGGGTGGCTTTGCCCACTCCACTGCCTGTGGCCTTCCTCAGCAGACATTCTATGTTCCCAGCTTTTGCAACTTCTTAGGGTCTCCACCGCACTTTTGACATCACTCTTACAGTTCCACACACTACCCTTTCAGGGGTACACTGCCTGGTCTCCAAGGCTTTCTTTTGAAATGTGGAGAGAAGTTCCTGACCCTCCCACTCTTGCATTTTGCATAAAATGATCATAAAACCAGTACCATGTGAATGATGCCAATGTCTGCTGCCAGCCCGAGCAGTCACCAGGTCTGCTTGGATCGTGGCTACGCCTGCCTGGAGTACCTGGATGGCTGAGCTTCAGGAAATTATTTAGTAGCTGGCACTGAATGAACTGGGTCCCCTAGGACTCTCTTTTCAAAGTGGTTTTTTATTTTTAGGCCCTCGAGCCTGTGAAGAGTTGTGAAGAATATCCTGCTGATTCCCAGGATATTCTCCAAGCATGGCATTCTTCTTATTGTCCTGATACAAAGTACTTGGCTTCTTGTTTTTTTTTGAGGCAGGGCCTTGCTCTATAGTTCAGGCTATCCTTGAGCTCACTATGTAGCCCAGGCTGGCCCCAAACTAGGGGCAATCCTCCTGCCTCAGCCTCCCAAGTGCTGGGATTATAGGCATGTGCCACCATGCCTAGCTTTGGCTTCTTTTTATTTATTTATGCTTTGGTATTGGGAATTGAACTCAGGACCTTGTGCTTGCCAAGCAGCTGTGGTGCCAGGCATTTTTTTCCCCCAGTACCAGGGATCGAACTTAGGATCTTGCACTTGCGAGGCAGGTGCGGTACCACATTGGCTTCTTATTTATTTATTTTTTGGTACCAGGGATCGAACTTGGGACCTTGTGCTTACGAGGCAGGCAACGGAACCACTGAGCTAAATGCCCGGCCCAACATTGGCTTCTTTTTAATGATAATTTTTTCAGCAACCAAATTCTCATTTGTGAAAAACTTTACAGAAGCCAACTTTATAGGAGCTTCCTTTCTGGTGAAATTCAAAATTTCTAAAATCACTCAGCTATGATTCTCAATGTAGAGCTGGCTAAAAGCTCCCAACAGTACACATGCCACAGCCCGAATGCTGGAATCCCTTAAAATTTCCTCTGCCAAATTAGTTAGTCTGCTGCCCTTAATTTCAATTTCCTGCAAAGTCTCAGGACATAAGCAAAATGTAGACGAATATTCTGCCAGAGCATAACATACACAGTCCAAGTGTCGACAGAATTCTTACTCCCAACTGAAACCTCTTAAGCCTGGTCTTTATCATCTGAATCTTTATTACCATTCTAGTGAGCTCTGACCAGAATCTCCCATCAAGCTCAGCTTACAGCATTCTAGGGTTTTCCTAGCCAGCATCTCCAAATCTTTTCAAACTCCTCCTATGAATCACTTCCAAAGCCTCCTGAACCACCTGATCAGGTAAACAGCAACAATCCTCCTCCTCAGGTAAACAACAACAATCCCACAAAATCTGTCTTAGTCACTTTCTTCATTGGTGAGACACAATGCCCCATGCCTACAACTTAAAGGAGGAGAGCCAATTTGCAGAAGTTTCAGTCCATCTTTGGCTCGTTTAAACACAGAAACAGTACAGTTGACGGCCCGGGGAGAGGAAAGCTGCTCATGTCTTTGCAGCCAGGAAGCAGAGAGCAAAAGGAGGAGCCAGGGAGGGAGATATATTCTTCAAAGTCAAACCCCCAGTGACCCGCCCCCTTCAACCAGACTCGACTCCCAACAGTCAGCTATGTCATCCACATGATTAATCATCTTCCAAAAGCCCCATCTAGAAGCATATGAGGCCTTTGGAGGACATTCTTGATCTAAAGCATAACAATATCCTTGGTAATAAAGAAAGACTAATATATTCTCCATTCTAATCCCTGGTACTTGGGACTGCATTATGCTACATGGGAAAGAGGAATTAAGATTGCTAATCAGCTGACCCTGAGCTGGGGAGAGGACACTGAAATATGTGGACAGGCCTGGTGTAATCACAAAGGTTCTTACAATGGAAAGAGGGATGTAGGAGGGTGAGTGACAAAGTGATACAGATTGAGAAAGACTCAACTAGCTACTGCTGGCTTTGAAGATGGAGGAATGAGGTCATGATCCAAGGGGTTTGGGCAGCCTCTGGAATCTGGAAAAGTTAAGGAAATGGATTCTTCCCCAGAACCTCCAAAAGAAATGCAGCCTGACTGATACTTTGATTTTTAGCTTAGACTCCTTTTGGACTTCTGACATCCAGAACAGTCAGATAAAAAATTTGTATTCTCTGTCTGTGTTAATTTGCCACAGCATTAACAGGAAACTAATACGATTAATTTAAAAATGAGGAAATGGTCAACTGCTTGGAAATTAAACAAAGTACTTCTAAATAATCTATAGTTCAAAGAATAAATCACACTGTAAAGTAGAAAATATTTAAACTAAATGACAGGGAAGGTATAATTTAACCAAACTTGTAGGATTCAGCTAAGGCAGAGTTTAGAAGAAGCATGCTTCAATACATATTAGAAAAGAACAATGGAAAAATCAATAATTTAATCTTTCATCAAAAGAATCTAAGGAAAATAAAGAATAGTAATTCAAACCTGAGGAAAGCGAATGGCAGGAAATAATAAAGATAGGAGCAGCCACTGAAATAGTAAAGTCAAAATATAGAGTATCAATAAAGACAGAAGTCCTTTAAAGAGTAAAATAAGACAGAAAAGTTCTAAAAAAAAGAGAGAGAAACTATATATTACCAATGCATAGAACTAATATGAAGAACTTACTATAGGTCCTATAGACATAAAAGATAAGCAAATATATGGATGACTTTTCACAAATACATTTCACATTTTGAGTAAAATAATAAATTCCAATTTACCAAAGCTGAAAGGAAAATAATTAATAAATATGAACAGCCTTGTAACTATTTTTTTGGTACCAGGGATTGAACTCGGGACCTTGCTCTTTCGAGGCAGGTGGCAGAGCCACTGAGCTAAATTCCCAGCCTAGTCTTGTAACTATTAATGGAACTGAATCGGTTATTAACAACTTTTGCACAGAAAACAAAAACCAAAACAACAACAACAAAAAAAGACCAGAAGACTTCAACAGTGAATTTATCCAAATATTTAAGGACAAAGTAATATGGATCTTACATAAATTTGTTATAAGAGTAAGAAAAGAGAGACTATTTCCTTTTTTTATAGGCTCAGCATTACCTTGCATCTCAAATCTGACAAATACAAGAAAGAAAATTTATAGGCCAAATGTTTTGATGACCAGAGATACAAAGATCTTAAAATATAAGCAAATAAGATTCCCCAATGTATAAAAATTCTTAATAGACGATAGATGGGGCTTACTCCAGGGATGCAAGAGTGGTTTAACATCTGAAAAAAACCCAATCAATATAATTCACCATTTTAATAAAAAGGAGAAAAATATGATTTGTTGATAAATGCATAAATAGTATTTGACATAAACCTATTTATAATTTTTAAAACCTCCTAGCACCTAGAAATACAATTTTACTCAATAGTGAAATATTAAAAGCTTGACCTCTGAGAATCTAGAATGAATTAAGGATGTCAGCTACCAACAATTCTATTCAACATTGTATTGGAGATTCTAGATAGTACAATAAAGACAAAGAAATGAAAAGCATAAGGGTTGAAAATGAAGAAATAAAAATATTATTCATACAGCAAGATGCTGTACATAAATACTCCAAAATACTACACACAAAACTAATACAGCTGGGTGGTAGCTTAATATACTACCAATGTAAGAAATGGGCAACTTGGTAAAATATAAAAGGTAGGATAAATTATAAAAGATTCATTCCTAATAACATAAAGACAGGGGTTTTAGTCTACATATTTTTATTATGCCATTTTTACACATAGTAGCAATCAAAAACTTGCTGAATGAGTTAATAATCTATTTTCTGACTTAGAAAACATAACTTATGGTAATATTTTTAAAGAGTTAAAATAAGCTAGCCTCACAAAAGTCAACACTTGCTAAACTGAGAGAAACTGACACATTACTACATAGCTAGGGATAGTATAGATTAACCAATACCTTTTAGAAATCACTTTGGCAGTATATATCACAGCCTGATCATATCATATACCATTTGTGGCTTTGATTCAATCATCTCACTGAGAAGGAATTATTGTAAGGGAATAATCCAAAAAAGGTTAAATGCACAGAGAGGATTCTTGCAACATTATCTATAACAATGGAAAAGCAATCAAGAGGTCTAAGAGTTAAGTGAGGCTTCTCATTTAAATGTAAGGTTTGGGTTAAAGACACATATGCATCCTGACCTCCCAATCCCAAATACCATGTTAGGGTAATTATCTAAACCACATGAGTTTCAATGGAGTAATAATAGTCGCTATAGAGTTGTTCTAAGAATTGAACGTGCTACTACACATAAAGCTCTTAAACTTTTGTAACATTAAGCATTCATGAATATGAAAAAGAATGTATATCAAATGATAAAATGTTGGCAATAATTTTAGGTGAATAAAAGTGGTTTATAAAACCATAAAACATATTTATATACATATACCATCTTTTTTTTACAAAAGTTATAAAACTATTCCCAGTTTAAACTGTGACCACGTCATATACAGATATACATGAGGATTAGAACAGAACATGGACAAATAAAAGATGAACCAGTTTGTGGGTGATCTCTTCATTTGGTAAACTGTTGACTTGTTTTATTTAACTTTATAACAAAGAAGAAATAGTCCAAACACTTTGTAGCAAACAATATAGAAAAGACCCAGGATCTCTACCTCTTTGTCTTGAATATTAGGGTCTGCATTATTTTCCATGAGCACAGCCATGCAACTGATATATCCCCCATATGCAGCACACTGCAAAGGAGTTCTTCCTGCATAATCTTGTACATTTGGATTGATCTTATTTTCTATCAAAATCTGGCAAACTTCAGCATTTCCTCCCAGTGCTGCCCAATGTAGAAGTGAATGTCCATCTTGGTCAACTAGATCTACCCTTGCTCCACCTGAAAAGAAAAAATTATAATTAAAATGTCTAATGTATTCTTACCAAAAAGAATAGAAGCTGGGCTTGGGATGTAGCTCAGTGGTAGAGTGTTTGCCAAGCATGTGTGAGGCCCTGTGTTTCATCCCCAGCACCCAGCACCAAAAAAAAAAAAAAAGCTAAATATAACAATAGTCCCTTAATGCACTTATATGCACTTCCTACTTCAGGGTTATACAATAAGCCTGTATTTTGGTCAGGATAGGAATGACTGCTCTTTTATAGCAAATGTCACTGAGGATCCAGTAGTGAGGAACTTTTCCAAAATCAAACAGCTACCAACCAACAGGGGGAGCTTGAGAGAGATCTGGAATTTTCTGATGTAAGGTTGAGCACTTTCCTTTCACCCTTCTGCCTCAGTGGATCTCCGCTGGGGAAAGCTTTATTTCAAGGTTAGCATGCAAAAATTCCTACCTTTTGTGAGTGACTTAATCAGAGTACTCATATTAACTAACCTTTAATAAGTGTCTGAATCACATCTTTGTGTCCCATCTCACAGGCTCGAAAAAGTGGAGTATGTTTCATGACATCAGTAGCATCTACTTGAGCATCATTTTCCAATAATAACTTCACAGTGGTGACGTGCCCAGAAAGGGCAGCAGCATGTAATGCTAAAAAGGAAGCAAAAGAAAGTGATGCACCATTGAACAACTGTACTCTTTTATTATTTTAATTAATGCAATCCAAATCTTAAGGATTCTCTAGTTTATTTTTTATTTTTATAGATTTCTAATTTCCTTCCTACTCATACGTATTACTCATACTTTTTCCCTTTCCTTCTACCTTGCTCTTCTCATTGTTTTATTCATTTCTATCCTGTTGGTCTGAAATGTTATCCTATTCTCAGGTACTAGCATATTAAACCTTTCCTCTTTTAGGAGAGTAAGAGAACAAAAATGACAAAGAGAAATGACTTAAATGATGCAGGCAATTCTGCCCTCTCAATAAACAGATGTCCACATGGGGCCACGTGACTGGGGATATCAACCCCACTGTTCTTTCAGCTGGCTACATGTGCTAGTTCTTTTGTTGGTCTAGTGTGCTAGTTGTGCTAGTTCTTTCGCTGGTTTTGTGTACCTGTCTGTACTGAAAGCACACATGTCTTGCTGCATTCAGTATATGTCATATAGCATGGCTTCAAATAGAAGCTACTTTCTCAGGGCTCAACTTTTTAAAAAATTCATCCTTTTCAACACTGGAGAAAAACACTGAGAGATTATATATTGTTTCCTCTCTGGTCCCTTCTAAGAGGTTTTAAAGAATACTTTTGGTATGTGTGTTTAATGTTATGCTGATCCCTGGCTGTTACTCCAATGTAATGCCTGACTTATGCTGTTCCTCTTTAGGTTTCAACTGACCCATTTGAACAGCTCAGAGAATTGTGGAGGTCCTTTCTAAGTATTATGGCTCTATAGTGCCTAAAACAGTGTCTCTTTCATAAAAGGGCACTTCACAAGTAAACTTGGAATGCCTGTAAAAAAATTAAGACTTTTGGGTTAGGTACTACTATATGCTGGGAACAAAACAGATAAGGTTACCTTCTAGAAAGGGAAGTAAAGCAAAGCAAAACAAAAAAACAACAAAACCATGAAAAACTTTATGTGATCATTACTTATGAAATGTCAACTTGACTTTAGTAAGAACCCTTTGGAAAATTATTAAAGCACTGGGTGTGTCTGTGGATGCCTGACACACAGGCCACAAAGTGAGGAGGGAAGACCCAACCTAGATATGGGTGGCACCAACCAATAGGGTTATAGCCTGGATGGAATAAAAAGGGAAAGAAGGAAGTTTTCCCTTTTCTTCTTTGGGGGAGCTTCAGTGTCTGCCATTGCCTTTGGATGTTCATCTCCAGTTCTTTCGGGCTTCTAGTGCAGTTTACAGGTGACCATTATAAGCCTACCTAGTAAACCCTTTATGCAATTGCATATATATTTTATATTAAATCTGTTCCTCTAGTGAACCCTGATACAACCTATCAACAAATTCTTAGGTTAAGTGATGGATGCTATAATTAATGCAATAGAAGGTATTCTGATATATTTGAGACCTGAACCATAAATAAGAGAGGATTTTGGGTAAAGAGAACAATTAGTACAGGACATGAATGACTTTGCATGATTAAGAAAGGCAAAGGTGACTGCAGCACAGTGAGAGTGAGGCAAGTCACAAGGGTAAAATAGACCAGATCATAAATGGCCACATAGATCAGAGTGATGGGAGATGATGAAGAGCTTGAAACAGGGGAGTGACAGTGTCTGATTTGTTTTAAACATATCACTCTAGCTGTTAGGAGGAGAATGCATTGTAGTAGATTAAAGTATAAGTGGGGAAATATAACAGAGTTGCAGTAAACAGTGAAAAATGATGGAAGCTTGAATGAGGGTGGCAGGAGTGGAAATGAAGAGAAACAGAGAGATTTAGAATATTATGGAGGTGGACTCTTGACAGGATTTGAAATAGGATCTCTGTATATATCTCCTGGAATCTGCATTTAAACAAATACCTTTAGGAATTCTTACACATTCTTGAGTTTCTGAACCACTGAACTAAAATGCTCGCTTCAGCAGCACATATACTGAACTACTGACCTAAATGGCTGTAGGCTAATTTGAGCCATTTGAGATTCAAACTGGTCTGAGTGACTTATGATACGTGCAGTGCTAGCACATAGAGAGAGTACAGACTGAATATTTCATTCTCAAATTTTGGCTCAACAAATTTTGGCTCAACATAACGAACATTCCAATAGAGTTAGGCTACAATGGAAATAGTGGGTTCACTGTATTTGAGATGTTCAACCAGAAGCTGAAAGACTATTGGCAAGAATATTATAAGGCAGATAAAAGCAAGACAAAATATCTGTGATAATTCCAAGATTTTCACATTTTAAGAGCATAGGAACCCTTTCCCCCCAAATTAAAATTTTATTATACTCAATACATAAAACAAATAAGAGGTCAAGGGTTACCCACTTGATGTTCTAGTCCCTCAGCACTACTTCAGGTACTTCTACAGAAATCTGTTCTGAAGAACATGATTTGAAATCCTTGGGCTAAGCTTAATTTTAAGGTAACTACTTATTCTGAAATGCTATAATTCTGTAATATGGCATCAAGTATGAAATACTCTATAGATAAATAGTATCAATGTCAAATTTTAAGACAGTAGACAAAACTTCAGTTAATAAAAAGATACAATTAATCATATTAAAGGAAATTCCTATTTCTATTTGTATTTGGTTTTAAAAAACCTTACACTTAATGATTGTTGCTTTTTCTTTGAAAAAGTGTCATAAGTTTACATAAGAACTTTACATTTTTTGAACTTAACTTTATATTATAGAAAACTTCAAACTACTCAGAAGAAAAAGCAATAGTCCAGTGAACTTAATACAGCCATCATCCAGCTTCAATGGTCATCAATACATAGCTAATCTTGTTTCATCTAACCACTGTCCATTCCCCAAAACTTGGGACTCTCTGAAGAAAATTCCAGAATCATATCCTTTCATTTGCAAATATTTTATCGCTGAAAGACAAGGATCTTTTCTTAAATACAGTGGTGTTATCAGTCAGGGGGTTCAGTCAGCAGACTGAACCAGTTGGCCAGATATTTTAACAGAGGATTCAACATAAAGAGTCATTAGCTATGTATTGAAGTGAAAAGATAAAAGAACGAACTTAAAGTATCACAGAAATAACAAATGCAGAAAATAGCTACCAACCCCGCAACTAGGAAAACAAGAAGAGGACAGAATTATTAAAACCTAAAATCTTAGAAGAGCTCTGCTAGTGAAATTCCAGACCTGTGAGGAGGGGTTCTTTATGGCCAGAGGTGGCATCTTTGAGGAGGGTGATTTGAGGCTGGCACTGTGAATGTTCAAAGAGATGCAGAGTGAAACTGTCACTGAAACAAACTATCACTGCTATGCTGAAGAAGCTGAAAACAAAAACAGGAAGTAAACAGGAAGATGGATTTCTGCCTTCCAGTCCTCTCGATTCTCTCTACTGCCCCCTATGGGAAGATTCTAAAAGGGTGCTTACTGGCAAACAGGAAATTTGATTTGCAGAGCCTCAGGCCCAGGACTGAGCATGTTCTCATTTTTCTGATGGCTTTCTCCTTTTTCATAGTTTATCTGAATCAGGTTCCAAACAATGCCCACACATTACTATTGGTAAGACTTGTTTTTAATGGGAGGGAGAGATGATGGAGAGGAACTCACTTTCACAGAAATGTCAGGAAGGCATCTCTGACATACAGTAAAATCCCCACAGGAGAAAGAACTGGGAATTAATGAATCTGAGAAGAATTTATGCCTCAATTCCAGCCATGGTGGATATCAGAAAGACACTTTTGGTCAAAAGGATGTAAGTATTATTGCCCATACCTTATTAAAATACATGAAAAAGTTAAACTAAAAGCAAGGCTAGTGATAAAGTATAAGACTGTGTGCTCTTACAATGTGGGAAAAAATTTTTAGCAGCTGTACCTTAGACAAAGGACTACTATCTAGAATATATAAAGAACTGAAAAAAATCAGACCCCCCAAATTCAAAAATCCAAAAATGGGCATCTGAAATGAATAGACATTTCTCAGCCAAAGAAGTAGAAATAGAAGATAAGCATATGAAAAAATGTTCAACATCACTGATCATTCGAGAGATGCAGATGAAAACAACACTGAGATTGCACCTCACCCCAGAAAGAATGGCTGCTATCATGAAATCAACCAATAACAAATGCTGGAGGGGGTGTGGAGAGAAAGGAACCCTTCTCCATTGTTGGTGGAAGTGCAGACTGGTGCAACCTCTGTGGAAATCAGTATGGAGATACCTCAAAGAACTAGGGCTAAAGTTCCCATTTGACCCAGCTATTCCCCTGCTGGGTATCTTCCCCAAAGAATTAGAATCATACCACAACGATATATATGCACCCATGTTTATAGCGGCATAGTTTGTAATAAATAGCTAAAGCTTGGAAACAGCCCAAGTGCCCATCAACTGGAAACTGGATAAAGAAGATGTGGTTTTTTTTATAAAATGGAGTACCAGTCAGCCATAAAGAACGAGAAACTAGAAACATTTATAGCTAAATGGATGCATACTGAGGTGATACTCTTAAGTGAAATAAATAGGACACACGTGTAAATACTGAATAGTTTCTCTGGTGTGAGAAACTGAAAGTGTAAATAAGGATTGAAATGATTAAAACGAATAATTGATAATTTGAAATAGGAAGAAAAGGTCCAAAGGAGTACGGGAAGTGGGAGGGGCAGGGGAAAGGAAAGAAGGGAAAGGAAAAATTATGAGAAAAGAAAAAAAAATGGAAACAAAGTCTATGTAAATAGGGAAGGGTGGAGGGGGTGAAGGGCACACAGGCAATGGGGAAAAAATAAGAACAAAGATACATCATGTACAGATACAAGCACCCAGTGATAGATGTAAATGTATTGTATACCTAAAATGTACCAATAAAAGAATTTAAGAAAAAAAAAGACTGTGTACTAACGTAAATCTGACAAAAATGAAATGTTCAGATCATTCAATTCTGTATACCTACAGAAAACCAAGATCTACTATGAGGCTTTGATAAAGAAATAATTTTGAAAGTTAAAGTCTTTATTATAAAATTTGAATTGTGAACTAAAAGCTTAAAAATATAATTTGGAAAGTGTGATATTCAGTAGAGCTGTAGAAGAAGGGGTATTATTATTATTTTTTTCCAGTACTGGGGATCGAACTCAGGACCTTATGCTTGCGAGACAAGCACAGTGCCACTGAGCTAAATCCCCAGCCCAGGAAGGGGCATTATTAAACGCAGCAACTCCAGCCCCCAGTCAATAGTTTTGGCCAAGAAAGATCTTATCCAAGGGTGTAAATGGCCCTAGATGTTTTTACAAATAAACCATAACACTGTGAAACCCCACAGGAGTTTTTATTCTGTTCAGTGTTACCCGAGCTAGTGTGTGATTTTCCTTCTTCATCTGGACTTGCAATTAGAATGTAGGACACGAGGAAGATCCCTCCAAGTTGAAACTTAATGCTGAAAAAAGGTGTATGCTTCATAGTAACCAGTGCATAGTTAAAGGGCTCTCTTATTAGAGAAAGAGACTGAAAGAAGCATAGACTAAGAGCTTTCCCAGGCTGACTTGAAGGTGTGAAGCTTCTAAGGTCATGGGAAGTTATCTCTAAAATGAGGGATTCTAAGACCTGAGAAAGGTGCACAGTAAATGAGACTGGTGACAGTACACTTAGATGTGTGCATTTCCTAAAATATAAATATACATTTTTGAAAATTGAATAACTACTAAATATAATTAATTACTAAATATGCATAGATTTAAAATACAAGTATATGCTTTTTTTTAGCATAAAGATAAATGACAAGAAGAGTTTCCATAATCATGTAAAAGGAGTGACCAAATGCCACCATTCATCTTGTAGGAACATGTGTTAATTTTAGCCATAATATTTGGAAGAAATGAAGCCTTTAGAGTGACATCTTGGCAAATTCAAAACATAAAGAGTAAATTCACACAGTATTAGATTAGGAACAATGCTTTCAGTGGCTATTTTACAAATTTTATAGTGTAGCCTATACTTTGGAACCTGAATGAAAGCAAACAGAACCTGTCTGCCAGCTCTTACCTGTGCCTCCATATTTGTCGGCCATGTTAATATCAATGTCAGACTTTAAACTCAGCATAGCTCTAAGGACATCATCACTGCCTTTCCCTGATGCCCACATAAAGGATGTTCTTCCTTCCAGGTCTGAATCATCTTTCACTGAAGGATGTTTTAAAAATACTTTAACTGTTTCCTGTAAGAAAACTTCATTAAAAAAATTGAGACAACAGGATAACACTTTTATGGTAACAACAATACTATTATATGGGACTTCTAGTAAGAAACAAAGTATTTTCCCCTGCTTCTAAATAAAACGATACTGTCTTTACGAAGTATAGCTTTCATTGAGAGTAATAATCTTTTGTCCTTACATATGAGTTTTAGTTTCCATAACCCTTCAAAAACATAATCCAACTCCCTCATTTCACAACCTCAAAATTGAGAATGATCATCTTCAATCAAGCTTGAAAACTTTTAGGCCACTGTTAAAAACTCAGAGGTGACAATTAAAAAACTCAGAAGTATTTAGTATCATGGGCAACATTAAAGTGTATGTGTTGTTCCTGGGCATTTCACAAACAGAGATCCATACAATTAGGTATGCTTCTAGAGAAGGTAAATATATTGTCTCAGAGTCTGTTTTGTGACTAAAATTTCTAAAAATGGTTAATACATTTATTGAATACTGATTGATGGTTACTAAAAAAATGCAATGTTCAATTCATTTAAATAATTTTTTTTTTAGCATTTCCTATATGCAAACGTCCTTCCCATGGAATCACACAAAAATTTGGACCCTTGACAATCCTGATTCTAAGTGGCAATTTAAAGCGGGTTAACATTCCATCATTTTAAATTGCCTCTTTTCTCAGAACTCGGATTCTTACAAATTTTTAGGAAAACCAAAAAACTTGTTTATATGGATGCAAAATAGTTTCAGAAAGGAATTTCTGGAGGCTGAGAACTGACTAAGAATGTACAAAAGTATTTGTACATTTGTACAAAATACTAAGTATTTTACAGAAAGAATAAATTCAAGGGGTCCCTCATTTTACAGATGAAGAAATTTAGGTTCAAGGTCATACAAATATTGATGGTAGGCACAGGAACAGAAGCCAGGGCTAAATCGCAGCACTTTTTTTCACTGCATCATACACTGTTTCCTAGTCATAAAACTATGTGTTGACCCAGTGAGGTACAACACCTGAGTGCTCTTAGTGTATGTTCCCTAAGTATATTTGAATAAAGAAATGAATTGTAAAAGTTGACCTTTTTTGGCTTGTTTTTTTTCTTTAATTTGCAAACATTTTTTGTTGAGTATGTTTTTGTTAATGACAAATATTTGTAGGGTTTTGTTGTTGTTGTTGTTGTTTGGTATTTTTCAAAGTGTGTTGAAACTTCTTATGAGAAAAAGAGGTCAACATGATTGAGGGGCTTCAAATAGAGTTTAGAGAATTTGCATCATTATTAAAAATCAACTGCAGATTTCTGAAAATCAACTCTGAAGATTATCTAAACCAAATATTTCTTTGATAAAACATCTATAGCACTCTACAATTTTTAAAAATAGTTATTTAATTATTATCTGTTCATTTATTAAACTTGGGTCTAAAATTTGGGTTCAAGATCATAGGCAAGGCATTTAACCTCTTGGACTCCTGGTTTTTAAAAAAATCTGTGAATGGGATGATATGACCTGAATAATAGGCTTATGTTGAATTGTGGATTCAGTTCTGATTTCCATAGATTAACTAGCTTAGACCAAGTGAATTTCTTATCTTATTTGTAATAAGAAAGAATTCCTCCTCAAAAGTTTACTTTTTATTTTTCTGAGCTGCTGGGAAAGAAGAGGAGATAACTGTTTGTCAAAATTCTAGGTTATAAATTGAACAAATTTTTAGGAATGTCAAGAAGGGAGGACCAGAGGTATATTTGGTCTGGATACCAGAGACTAAGAAGGGTATGAAATTAAGATATTTTAGCAACTGAGTATTCAACAGAACATCTGGAAAGGTCAAGCAGTTGAACTTATATATATATACTGGGTTGATTGATAGTATAATAATAATAATAATAATTTAATGAAACCAAGTATTTCACTATGCACACCCATGCAGAACTATGACTGCTTTAATGTATGCAGGCTTCTTTACATAGGTCTTGGCTCTTGGGGGCCATTCATATTCAGGAAGCTGAAATAGCCTAGATACTATTAGGCTACTGCCTGGTGGATTGAGGATTCAACAGATAAGAAAGTGCTTTCTAAATTATAAAGAGCTGTAAGAGAGGAACAGTTAAATATTACATATTCACTACTTCTAGAAATAAAAACTCAAAATTAATTATTAGCAATAGTAATAAGAATGCATTCTATTTCTTGAGTACCTGCTCAGTCCCAACAACTAGAGTAGGCACTTATCATTAACTTTAACTTTTAAAATAATCATAAAGAAAATTTATAATTCTTCTTATTTTACATACAAAGAATATTGTGTGAGGTCAAGCTAGCAAACTGCACAGTCAAGATTCCAGCCAGGTTTTTCCAGTTCCAAAGCCTTGCCACACTACTTTCAAGATAATTACAGATTGCCAAACACTAAGATATAGTTACTGCTATAGAAGGAAGAAAAAGATGAGGTACACTTACCATAAAATAAAAATTACACTGAACATTAAAATAGAAACTACAAATAACTTCCTATGTGACTAACAACTATAAAAACTATCACATGCATCTCAGGCAGAATTAATAATACGAACAATTACTTAAAGATGATTGCTACACCAGTACAGACAAATGAGTGTTCATAAAACTGGTAAAATTTGAGTAAGGTCAATGTCAAGTTCCTGTTTATTATATTGTACTAGATGTAACTATATGGCTAAAAGGGGTGAAGGGCACCTCGGATCTTGTGTATTTTTTCTTGCAACTACATATGAATCTACAATTATATAAACATAAAAATTCTATTAAGAACAAAGTATTGTCGTGTTTTACTTACAGCAAAGTTACTCTGAGCAGCATAGTGCAGGGGTGTTGCTCCTTGACTGTCAGATGGGATAGTTCCAGACTTATTTCTTTCTAAAAGGAGATGGACAATCTGTGCGTGGCCTGAGAACAGACATGACAACATAGTTACCACATATAAAGAACCTTAAATAATTAGTAATCTACTTAAAAGAAGGGGGTGAGAAAAATGATGAGCACATAATACAGCACTCACAATGGTTTCTGAACAGCAGCCCCCAGTGATGCCTCTTGTAATTTCTCACTAGCCTATGCTGATAGGGCAGAACAAAGATGAAAACTAACAACACTGAAAACTTAATGTTTCCATTGAGAAGGAAGTGGCATTGGATATAATTGCAAGATTGAATTAAAAAAACTGTATTAAGTATCACCTCATTGCATTCCCTGGCTTCACTCTGGAAATAGCCTACAACAAAAGAGGGAAGGTGTCAGGTCTTCTTAGGCTTCCTTGTCTTGAGGTTCCACTGCCCAAGCACCAGAGCTACACAAGTGTTTCCTCCTGTTATTCAGGTGGACAAATGATAATACAATCTCTTGTATCTCTGAAGCCTCCTGACCATTCCTTCTAATTTCTCTCTCTTAGTCTTTTTACATTTGGCAGATTTCAAATCCCACAAAATAAGGGGGCAGGGATGATGAGGTGGTATAATACTCTTCAGCACAGTCTGGAGGAAGTGATTTCTACAAATGCAGAACTGTAGAAGAGATCAAAGAACAAATAAAGCTAGTAACCATATATATAGGAAACCTGAATTCCATACTGTATTGTGATGGCATATTGAGGGAGCCAGGCAGCAACAAAGATGCCATATTAGCGTATTAAGGATATATGAATGACAGGCAGAAAAAACAGAAGTTGAATGAGAGTTGTGCTCATCTACTCGTTTTTCATACACACGTTAAGGTGGGGAGTCTCCAGAACACAAGGGTAGGATTAAAGGCATCTATGTCACAGTTAATCTAAACACAGCTCATCTTGTTTGAATAAAGAGAAAAATTCAGTAAAGATCATAGAAATAATATACTCAGGACAGGGAAAAAGGCACATTAAGAGAAAAAAAAGAGCATACCTCTGAAAAGAAGGATCCAGAGGAAAAATTCAGGAAACTGGCATCTTCGACTTAGTGCAAAGAGAGATGGTTTCTATGAAACAAAGAGAATGCCCTAAGAAGGAAACAGGCTGAAATGAAAAGGCAGTGGAAGGAAGTAAAAGGAAATAAAATGAGATAAAAAGAAATATGCATGACAGAAGGAAATGAAAATACAATCAAGATTACAATCTATATAGGAGGCAGAAAGAAAGAAAATTTATAGAATAAAAAGTTAGTCTAGTGAAGTGGAGACAAATTTGGCAACTATGCCCACATTCTACAGAAAAAGAAAAAATGCATGAAGCCACACATTAAAATGAAGTCTAAATAATAATTTAAAATTTGACCATAAAAGTTGAGTGCAGATATATAAATCATTTTCAAAAAACACAATGTGTAACTTTAAAGCTAATATCAAGATAATAATAATTAGTATTTTAATTTATTTTATAAATAATAAATTTACAATTTAATAAATTGTGCTAAAATCCTTTGTTTTAAATATATGGGAATCAATAGATGAAGTATTGCTTTTGACTTTGTCTCAGGCTTAAAAATGCTCTTGATAAATTTAAAAGTAGTCGCTAATAGAACCCAACAATCCTTCTGAAACATTGGGCAATTCAAAAGCAAATAACAACAACAAAGCTAATCTATATACCAAAAGCAGAAAACAAAGGAAAATATTTTTTTAAAAAATGATAATCAGAGGGGAAGGGGACAGGAAAGAAAAAATTATGAGAAAAGACAAAAATGGAAACAAAATCTATGTAAATAGAGAAGGGTGGAGGGGGTGAAGGGTGCACAGGTAATGGGGAAAAAATAAGAACCAAGATTCATCATGTACAGGTACAAGCACCCAATGATAAATGTAAACATATTGTATACTAAAATGTACCAATAAAAGAATTAAAAAAAAAATTATAATCATGGCACAATGGCAGAAAAAAAGATTGAATTATTTATCTTTGAACAATGACTATTAATGGGTACAATGTCTTTATTAAAAGAGAAAGTCTCTTAAATTACACTTTCTTAAAAAAAGTAACATCTACATATATATAACATATACATAATATACAGCCTCCCATCTAAAAAAGTGACCCCCAAAGCCATTAAGTAAAAAGCAAATATGAAGAAAAAAATAAAAATATCATGGTATTAGCACAAATATAGAATTAAAGCTCTCCTCTTAAAAGCAGTGACTGTGAAAAGAGGTTTATGCTACATGTTGTCAATGAACTGTCATTCATTTTATAAGAAAAGTTAAGACATACTGAAATTAAAACTAATATTTAACAGAGAATAACTTATAACTTTAATTTTTTTAAAGACAGGGTCTTGCAATGTAGTTCAGGTTGGCCTTGAACTTGTGGCAATCCTCCTGCCTCATCCTTCTGAGTGCTGGGATTACAGGTGTGTACCACCATGACTGGCTAATGGAGAATAACTTTATACTACTAAAAATTAAGCATACAGTAGGGGGAGTTAGTTTATAAAATCATTCAACATATCACCTAAAATTAATTACAGAGGAGATGAAAACCAACAGGGAAAGAGAAGGTACAGAAATTCTCCTACATGCATACGTTCCCCCTATTGTTGATCCTTTATTTACAGCCAACTTACCTAGTAAAGCTGCCCAGTGAAGTGGAGTTCGAAATAAGTTATCATATGATGTTATATTGCAGCTTTCATATGAAGTTAAGACATCAACCACTGTCACATTTCCATCAGCTACTGCAAAGTGCAGAGGAGTGCGACCCTCATAGTCTTGCCAGTTCAGCAAAGACTCTGTTGGAGCAGCATCCTATTTTTAAGGAACCAGAGATCACACATTTGTGGAATACTCAGTAAATTCACAGAGCATATTGACAGAAGTTTTCTAAACAAAACCTCTACATTCTCTACAGGCACAAATAAACTGGTAAATCCAGAGAAAGTATACAGTATAAATCTTTAAAAATTAATTTTTATTTCACTCTAAAAAGTACAGAAAAGAATATAATAACTACCATGTACTGACTATATTAAAAAGGTATCAATATTTTGCCTAATGAGCTTTTGTATCTGTTATGGATTCAGCTAAAGGTGTGTTTTGCATTTTTGTACATATGTATGCATCCATACACAATAAATATATACAAATAGGTCTATGCTTACATAATATATATATATATATATAATTTACATTGTGGCAGTATACATGTATATCCTTTGACAACTTTATTTTTCAACTTTATACTTGTGGGTATCTATGTTGATACTAGTTTATTTGCTGAACTACATGAATAAACCATGATTGAGTTATTCGTTCTCCTACAGTTAGGTTATTTCCATTTTTTTCAAATAATGCTGCAAAGAGTATGTTTCCTGTACCTGTCTCTTATAGCATATGTGGCTACATACCAAAAGAATTGCAGGGTTAATGGATATCTGCATCTTCAACTAGATATTGTCAAGCCTCTCTCCAAATGGTTGTACCAATTAACACACCCATGACAACATGTAAAGGTTTTTATTTGCCTACCTGCTAGCACAAATTAATACTTGGTATTATCAAGCTTACTACATTTTTCTCCCTTCGGAGTATGAAAGACATTTCACTGATGTTTTAATTTGTAATTCTTTTATGAATGAGGTTGAGACTTTAAATTTTTAATATGTTTATTTGTGAATCAATTTTATTCCTTTATAAATCGACAGTTTTTCTGTTGGATCTTTGTAGGAGACATTATGCTTCGGTTCCCCTTCAAGTCTAAGGCCTTACTTCCTCAGCTGGTAGGAGTGGCGTCAGCTGATGACCCTTAACTGTCAACTCTCTGGAACTGCTTTCACTGAAAAGTTCTCACCCAAGGTTATGCTCCTTCTCAGGTTTGGTCATACCCAGAGCCAAACCTGGATTTGGCTTCAACTTGAGAACTCTCTGAAGGGTCATATCAGATTTAGAGCTTCTTTTACAGTGAGTGAGTCTATTTTATTTAAAACATAAAATGTATAATTTAGGCCCTTGAGTCTTGTAATGAATGAGATGTGTTTAAAAGAGGACATGAGGACAAATCAGAGTGGAAAAGGGATAATATGAGTGTAAATTGCTCTCCAAAGACTTCAGGTACTGAAATTTAACAATAAGGAATATAAAATAACAATCTACTAAATATGTGAGAAGATAAAAATGAAATAGAAATCAAGAAAGGAAGAAAAACCATCATAATGATATAGTGGATTTGCAAAAGAACCAAATAAAACTTTTAGAAGTGAAAAATATAACCACTAAAATAGAAAGGGTAAACCACTGATTAGACTTGGCTCAAGAAAGGTTTAGTATACTGGCAGACAGATCTGATATGATTATCCAGAATGGAGCACACAGATACAAGGAGACAGGAATACAAAAGGAAGTTCAGAAACATGGAGAAGAAAAGAGAAAATTTCAAAAAACATATAATTGGATACCCTGAAGGCAAAAAGTAGAGAGAATGAGGGAGAAGCAATATTTAAAGAGATAATACTGCAGTTGTACACTTTCTAGAACTGAGACACAACACTCAGAATGTATATACCAAACAGGATTTTTATATTTATTTTTTTCTGACAGGATCTAACTATGTAATCCAGACTGGTCTAGAAATCCCTATGTAACTCAGGACTTTTCTGTCCCAGCCTCCAGAGAACTGGGATTACAGATATGTACCACCACATCCAGCTTTTCAAATGGTATTTTAAAAAAAGCCACACCTAGAAACATTGTAGTATACCAAAAAGAAGAACTTAAATGCCTGCTGCACAACCGTAAGGACCCGAGTTCGATCCCCAGTACCAAAAATAAACAAAAACAAAGAAGAACTTAAAAAAGCAGGCTAAGTGAAAAGATAGATAATCCATAAAGCAAAGACAATTAGACCACGAATAGACTCCTCAAGTAATAATAAAAGGCAGAAAGCAACAAAATATATCCTGAAAAAGCTGAGAAAAGTAACTACATAGAAATGTGTATACAGGAAATCTATGTTTTCAAGAGCCAGGATGAAAAGCAGATATTTTTAGCAATTAAAAATAGAATACACGTAACACTTATATAAAAAATAGAAATTCTTAGAACAGTAATTTTAGAAGGAAAGCTGGAGATTCAAGAAGTGAAGAGCAAAGATATTAGTGAACACATAATAAGTAAAACTAATCCTTGTATATATGAAAGAATAACTTAAAAATCTAATTTGCATCTCAAAAGTCTAATTTGTGTATTGAAAGCAAATAAAACTAAATATTGCAGTACCATAGCATGTAAAATTGAAAGTTGGGACAGAGTGATTAGAAAACCTCAAGTAGGGGCCGGGGATTTAGCTCAGTGGTTTTGCTGCCTGTTGCGCAAGCGCAAGAACCTGAGTTAGATCCCTGGTACTAAAAAAAAAAAGAAAACCTCAAGTAATCTACTTTGGAGTATTCAAAATTAATAAGTAATTTAGCAAATTAGGTATATAATCAATGAACAAAAAAATCAATTGCATTCCTCTATACCTGTAACAACCAGTTAAATGCCCTATGTATGTTCAAAAGTCCTCAAAAGTAGCTCTGTTTATAAAAAAAACTGAAAATAGTTAAAACTCTCTCAATAGAATAAATAATAATGAAATATTATTTAACAGTAAAAATTAAATGGAATACTATGTAACAGTAAAAATTAATACACTACAGTTACACATAGTAACATACATAAAATCACCAGCGTAAGATTGAACAAGAAAAGCACATTCCAAAAGAATACATATAATATGAATCCATGTATATAAAATTTTAAAACATTAAAAATGAAGCACTAAGGGCCGGGGATTTAGCTCAGTGGTTCCGGCGCCTGCCTCGCAAGCGCAAGGTCCCGAGTTCCATCCCTGGTACCAAAAAACAAAACAAACAAACAAAAAAATGAAGCACTACGTTTTTTATGGATACAAATATGTAAAGTAAAACTAAGGAAAATCAGTAGATGACAAACATGAAATTGAGAATGGTCTTTGCCTCTGAGAAAGGAGAGCATAGGGGAGTATTCAACTCAGGGGACTTCAAAGGCTTAATGGTAATGTACCTTTTCTTAAACTCAGCAATGAGGACATGAATTTGTTGTTTACATAGCCTTTATAATGTACATGCATTTCACTCATATTCACTTATATGCATTCATTGTTACTTAATAAAACAAATATAAAACAATGTAAGAGAATTATAAAGTCAGGAAAGTAGTTGGTGTGGGGAGTGGATGCAACCTCCAGGCAGTCTTAAATAGTGGTATTGAAACGTTCTATTTTTGGGGAAATGGGTCCACATGTTTGTTGTATTCTTTGGTTCATAATTTGTTTGTATGTCATACATATGCTTTTTGACATGTTGGATATTTCACAATTGTTTAAAAAGGATGTTCAGGTCTAGACCACCATTCTACTCACCAGAATGCATCTCACTGTATGCACAGCACTTGGATCTTTATGGTTGGCTGCCCAGTGCAGCGGGATCTTGCCTTCAACATCAGGAATCCCAATGTTGGAATCATGCTTGATCAGCAGCTTCACATGCTCAGGATTGTTGTAGTAGGCACTCCAATGCAGAGCTGTTTGCTGCAAGATTGAGAGGTTGGCAATTAAAAGCAGAGCAAAATAATGTGTAACTTTCCCCAAACTTTCATTGTGATAGACATCATCATATGTATTTTACATTACATGGTCATCATCACATCTCTGGGAGATAAGTACTCTTTAATTCGCATATGATGATGAGGAAAACAAACAAAGAAAGATAAATAATTTGCAAGGACATAAAGATATTATGTGGCTGCCTTAATCCTAGCATCACACACTCTAGATTCAATCACCAATCACTGAAGACCACATGAGGCTTTGAGGGAGACCTCTAGATCCAAACCATAACACTAACAAATATGAAAAAGGCTACTTCCACGAAAGAAAAGGAGACCATAACTCCTCTGTAGTTACCAGGGTGGAAGACATCTGAGCCACTGACCTTTTGGAGCCAGGAAATGATGAATCCTTCCAAGGTTAGCTAGTGCCTAGAAATAGCAACCAACTTACCCTTGGTAGGAGAACCAGCAGTCCAGGTATACATCCCACTTTGTCTTTTCCAAACTCTTATAGATCCCGACAACATATCCCTGAGGGCCTCTAATTGCAAGCCTACTCACTGTACACACCCTGCCTCTCCCATTCCTTCCTATAAAGACCACAATAAAGACTCCAGGCTGTGCTTTTCTTTCTGCCTTCGCACTTTTGTGGGTCTTCCCCATGTGGCCCTGTGGAGAATGGTGTCCCTTTTTCTCTTGGGAATTGTTAGCAATCAACATTTTTTTCAGGAAGTTGTCTTTGTTTCTATCATTTCCTCGTACCTAGTAAAAACAAAATCCTGGGTAAAATGTATGAAGTGTGTTCACATGACCACTACTACAAGTAAACCTATTAATATTAACACCAGTAAGGCTAGAGGCAAAATTACATTACTTTTCTTTGAAAAAAATTATATATAAATGTTGACTAATAATATATATTTTATCTACAATTCCATTTTTGTACAAAATTTTACCAACAAGAAGGGTAAGTTCTATCACACTGATGTATTCCCATCCTACAAGACAGAACCTCAGGTGAGTTATTTTTTCTTTAGTATGAACTTTACAATTAAAAGATAGTATTTCTTTAGTAAAATCAGCTAAATGTTTCCATACCATGTTTTCTCCTTGTGTAGTCCTCATAATTCACATTTGTCCTTCTCAATTGACAAGATTGTTTTGAATAATGTTTTCTTACATATTTACTGTAGTCCTATAATGTGACAGTCAATGTGTAGGCCAACAGATCAATTAAAAGGATGAATGAGACTTGGCATCCACATTGAAGAAAATAAAAATTATATATGAGTAAACCATGGAGAAAAAAGAACAGTGTAAATTTAACACATTTTTCATCCTCACTAACTTTAATAAATAATTTTATTAACTAATTTTTGTTTGAATTAAAGTTCAGAGAGAGAGTTAAAAACATCAATAAAGAGAGACATAAAATTATATATACAGGTTAAGTGTAATCAGCTAGTAATTTCATTGAAAATGTTTATAAGAATCTGAAAGCCCCTTATTAAATCCAATCAACAAAATACATTTGAACCTAAAAAAAAAATGCAATGAGAGACAAGTGATGGTAAATCACTTTATCCAAACTCAATACCTTCCCCTACTGCTTGTTCTCAGTTTTTATTAGCCAGAATAATATGCAATGGCAGCTTTTCTGAGTCTCACAAATTTATAATATATTTATCTCTGGATAAAAGGATTTCAGTGCAAAGTGAATTTTTCTTTATAATCCTATTTCAGAAGAAATAATCAATGAAATATTCTCTCTTCTCAGAAATTGTTGGTGAGTATGGATAAATGAAAGTTAATATATGGATGCATTTATATCTGTGTAATCACTCAATATATCCATTAGATCTATTGCTTTAGAATAAACATCATTATTTAAATAATGTTAGGAAATTATAAACATTTTAAATATTATTTTATAATTTTAGGTAAATAAAAACTACAGAATATTTGTATGATGATATCTCATGGATATTTTGTGACCATAGAGTAAACAAATTTAAAAAGTAGGGAAAATAAAATCTTTTACAAAGATAAGAGATGATTATTATTTCCTCCAATACCCATAATTTTTATTTGGCCCACGAACTAGCACAAACAATCAACAAGTGGGATCTCTTCTTATTAAAAAGCTTCTGCACAGCAAGAGAAACCACCAGCAGTGTGAAGAGACAACCCACAATGTGGGACAAAATTTTCCTCTGTGTTCCTCAGACAAAGGTCTACTTTCTAGAATCTATAAAGGACTTTAAAAAATCAGACCTCCCAAATTTAACGACTCAATCCAAAAATGGGGATCTGAAATGAACAGACATTTCTCAGACAAAGAAGTAGAAATAGCAAACAAACACATGAAAAAATGTTCAACATCACTGGTAATTTGAGAGATGCAAATGAAAACAACACTGACATTCCACCTCACTCCAGAAAGAATGGCTGCTATCATGAAATCAACCAATAACAAATGCTGGCGGGGCTGTGGGGAAAGAGGAACCCAGCTCCACTGCTGGTGGGAGTATAGACTGTTTCAACCACTATGGAAATCAGTATGGAGACACCTCAAAGAACTAGGACTGGAGGTCCCATTCAACCCAGCTATTCCCCTGCTGGGGATCTTCCCCAAAGAATTAAAAGAATCATTACCTCAGTGACATATGTGCACCCATGTTCATAGTAGCACAATTTGTAATAGCTAAAACTTGGAAGCAGTCCAATTGCCCATCAACTGGAGACTGGATAAACAAAATGTGGTTTTTTAATAAAATGGAGTACAACTCAGCCATAAAACATGAGAAATTAGAAACATTTATAGCCAAATGGATGCACATTGAGGCAATACTCTTAAGTGAAATAAATAGGACACACGTGTGTAAATACCAAATAGTTTCTCTAGTGTGAGAAACTGAAAGTGTAAATAAGGACTAAAAGGTATAATAGATAATGTGAAATAGAAGGGGCAAAGGGGAAGGGGAAGTGGGAGGTGTAAGGGAATGGAAAGAAGGGAATAGAATCAGTATGAGAAAATGAAAAAATGGAAACAAAGTCTTTGTAAATAGGGAGGGATGGAGGGGTTGAAGGGAGGGCAAGGCAAGGAGGAGAAATAAGAACTAAGAGAGATTATTTAAAGTTCACATTTCCAGTGATGAATGTCATTATTTTGTATACCTAAAATGTACCAATAAAATAAAAAATTTTTTAAAGTGTTAATGGGACTTTGTGGATTGATCAAAGTGCTTTGGTCAGCAAAACATTAGCATTACAGATGCCATGATTTAGGAATAATATTAATGTATTGTACTGGTAAAGTAAAAGTTGATCTAAGAACTCTATTAAGCAAATTTTGAAAACTCCACAAAGAACACTATGAGAGTGAAAAGATTCTTGAATATAAACCTAGTAGATTTAATTATAAGAGTTTCAATTTAATGGTACGATTGGAGTAACAAGACTCTCTGACTAAGAGCTTGGTGGAAAGGAAGAGGATTATTGCTCTTCTCTAACTAAAGGCCATATTTTTTGCCTATAAAAAATGAACAGAGCATCAATCAAAACAATGACCAATGTGTACAATATCAGAACATTTAAGAGCAGGGACAGTAACAAACCCTAGAAGTAAATGCTAGAGCAGATGTTAGACTTGACATGGAACTAATAATTATTTTATAGCTAACATTTATGGAGACTATACTGTGCATTGAGAATTGTGTTAAGCAGTTTGTATATATTGTCTCATTTTATCTTCAATAAAGTTACTATCCTTTTTTTTCACTTAAGAGAAATTTGAAGCATAGAGGAGTTAAGCAATTTGCCCAAGGACACAGAATAAATAAGTCATAGATCCTGGACTGAAATCCAGCAGATCTGCCAAAGCCCAGGCCACACTATCCCCTGGGCATTTGGCCACCACAAATGTAACTACTTAGAGTAACCTTCATGACCTTCTGTCAGATATTGGACTTCAGAGTTAAGCAGGCCTAAATTTAAATTCTAGTTCTACCACTTGGATCTTGGGCAAAATTTTAATCTTCTTTAGTTTGTTTCTCCATCTGTTAAGAGGTTAGATACTATCTACTGCATGGTAGCTAGAAGGATAAAATGACAGGATTTAAGAGAATACTTTACTGAGACATGTTCTACCATATAAATGGGTGTTAATTTAGATATTATTACTTGAAGTTACACATCTCCAAAGGAAACATTTACTTTCTGTTCTCATTTGCCCTCCATGTTGTTATGTATTACCTTGTTTTTATCCTGAGTATCCACTTCACCTGGTGCCATAAACTTCAGCAGAAGTGCCAAACACTTAGGGCTCTTGTGCCGGGTGGTCAAGTGCAAAGGTGTCATCTCTTCTAGATCCTTTTGCATCCAGTTTGCTCTACGTGTAAGTAAGAGTTTCATAAAACGATAATTTCCCTAAATATAAAGAGAGAGTGATGGAAGGAGGAGAAAAAGGGAGAGAGAGATTTTACTTTGGAAGTCATTTCTTAAAATTAAAAAAATATTGTAAGTATTTTAATAATTTTCCTAGAGTATAACTTTCAGAGAAACAAATAAAAGAAAAAATGCTTCCAAAACCCACTAAACTAAGATGATAATTATTTTTTTATGTTTCTTTTCTAACACAAATATAATTTACACAGTGGTTATTCAATATTTTATTGGGCTAAGGCAACACATTTTATCTAGTCTAATAATGCTAAATATTTGGAAAGTTTCCAATGGTTTCTATTATAGAAAAATGCTTTAATGTACACATTTTTTTACAAAGCTTTTTTATAAGAATAAATTATCAAGGGGCTGGGGATGTAGCTCAGTGGTGCTGTGCCTGCTTGGGAAGCACTAGGTCCTGACTTTGATTCCTGGTACTGGGAAAAAAAAAAAAAAGAATAAATTATCAAGAACCAAATTGCCAGGTCAAAGGAGTTTGCCCATTTTATAATTTTTAGTGTATCTTCCAAATTACTATCTGTAAGAACAATATGTGGGTAAATTGTTTTCAGAATATTTTGACCAATATATTATAATAACCTTGTGAAATAAGCAGAAATATTAAACCCCCAATTCACAGGTAAGGGAACTGAGATGTAAAGGAGAGAAATATCTTGCTCATGGTCCTCTGTTTAATACAGAGGGGGTGGTTAGTTTTCTTGAAGAGAGCTATTTACAGAGAGAACTAAAGAAGTGGCTTACACCAAGTTTATGCCCTAGACTCATGGCATACACTACAATCTAGAAGTCATCCTAGGCCATCCACTAGCATGCAGTACTCTCTCCTTCTCCAGCCTGGAGAAAGAAGCTTCAACATAAGGCCTAGAGCAACACAACGTTGGGAATGCAGACCAGCCATTACACAGTGAGTCTGCCTAACATGAGAGCTCTGAAAAAACCCCAAAATTTTCTAAAAATAGTTTTTTAGGGCTCTTTTCTGAGATTTAATTTCTTCCAGTTCTGGCTGGAAGCCTCCTCAAGCATGGTGTCACAGATATTTCAAGGTTAAAGTGATGAAAAGTATTGCACGATCAAGTTCTTTGCCTAAAACTGCCTACCTATCTCTCCCCACTCAAAGCACAGCAGCAGGCAGGGTTCTGTCTTCTTCCATCTTCTCAGACACTCTTAACTTTGTTGGAAGTGGGGCCTTTTGGTATAAGGATGCATCAAGGAGCTATCAGTATCAGTAAAGAAGACATTTGTTAATTAAGCAGATGACTCACAGAGAAGAACAAACGAGATGAGCTACAGCAACAATGTGGTGCACAGGGGCACAGGAAATTGCCTGCTTGCCCACACAGCCAGAGCCAGGATAACCTCCAGCCAGGGCTTGGGCAGAGATAATGAGAGATAAGATAGAGGGATGGCAGAATCCCTAAGACTGTCCGTATTAGATGAGCAGATCTAGAATGGACTGAAAAAGCAACCGACTAAACTTGATTATTTCCTCTAAGAGAAACTCTCCATTGCAACCCTAAGTAGAACTTATTTTGTTATTCTTCAATCACTTTCCATTTCCTTCATAGTACTTTTCCCACTTTGTAGTTACAGATGTATTTGTTTCCTTTCACTGTGATCTCCCTCACCAACTATAAGCTCCATGAAGGCAGAGGCTATGTTTTACTGACCACTGTGTTCACCACAGTTCCTGGCACAAAATAAGTGCTTAATAAATATAAATAAATTAGAGGAAGGACAGAGTATAAAGAAATGAAAAGTTCCAGAAGTTTTTGTTTTCATTTTAAAATTCTTACAGTTGCTGTATTAATTAGATCATATAGTTCAGAACCTTAGTTCTCAAATAACTGGAATTGTCATTGTTACTTTTATATATTTCATTTATGAGCTTCATTAGTTGTGTACATTATTTACCTGGAGTCATTTTTTCAGTGTCAGCTCTTGAGAAGAAAGGTACAAAATTTCCTCAAGAGGGCGCCCTGCTCTAAATTTCTTGTCATCTTTCCTTTGAAAAAAGAAATAGTGCCCAGGAGAAACAAATCTATATGACACTTCATACTGAAAAATGAGGTTTGCCCTTTCTGAGCGTAACATTTCAAATATTACAGAATAATTCATCATGACCTTTTAAAGTTATTCAATCAGACAATCATTTTGATTGTAAAATTAGAGGAAATAGGAAAAAGGAAACTAGCGTGTGTTCAGGGGGTGACTACTGCATTATTCTAGGGACTCTACCTTCACAAAACATGGTACCTGCCTGTAATGTTTACTCATTCATTCACTCAACAAACATTCACTGAGCCCTGTTATGAAGCAAGCGAGAGTACAATGTTTGCACTGCATTTTACTCATTACAAAACCTTTTGACACAGATTTCATCTATCTCCTCATGGAAGTATCACGGAAAACATTTACAGATTAAATAAAATATCTTTCTATACTTCCATTTCCTCATCTGTAAAACAGGGATTTTCACTATTATTATTATGAAATTATTATGCATGTGAGATGAGATAGATAATATTTGTAAAGTACTCATTATAGTGAACAAAGCAAATGCTCAGCAAATGTTTGCTAGTATTATTCTGAGCAGTTTTCCAATATGGAGGTGGCAACAAAACACAGGTGAAATCAAGGATGACCTACAATAGAGGGCAGGTAGATAGATTTGTTTGCAATATTTATATTCACCTACTCATTAAGGTGAGAAACACAAGGGACACGTAAAAGTAAAAATAGTTGGAATGGTATAAATGATGGTTTTGAAATAAACAATGGTTTTTCTATTTTTTTTCTTACATTGAGAAAGAGTTCTATGTCTTTCCTATAGATTATGAGCTCTAGGACCAATAGAGACACAACCAATAGGAACTTGGCTGGGACCTTGAGAAGAGGTCAGCTATTTGAAGTTTGGTCTTTCCTGTTTTGAAGGACAGATACCTATTATTTATTAGCTGTGATAGCTAGGGCTAGGAACAATAACATTCACTTGGACAAAGGGCACCCTCCATATGCAAATTCAATCTCTGTGTATGAGCAGATGGGACAAAGAATTTAAAAAGCTAAAGACAAGAATAGGGCTGAGGTTGCAGTTCACTGGAAGAGTGCTAGCCCAAGCACGCACAAGGCCCTAGGTTTGATCCCTAGTACTGAAAAAAGAAAAAAAAAATCAGGAGAATATTTCTAGTGTCAGTGGAAAAGGAAGACATTAAATCTGAGATTGGGGAAGCAAGCTTATTTGTCAATCCTCTGAAGGTTGTTCAACCCCACGAAGAGGATGTTTTAGGCTACTTTACTTCCCACAAAACCTCCTCCCATACAAAAATAAACAAACAAAAGTCTCAACATTTGAAATAAGGACTTGCTTAATTTTTAGGAATATTCTTATAGTGCAAATATTTGGAGTAGGATATGGAAGTAAATTATTTAGTACAACATCTTAGGGCCACACAGAAACTGGTCCTGAGTTGAGGACTGCCTGTTTTGGGATCTGTTTTTATAATTTCTGACTGGGCAGAAAATAATGTAAGAGTGAAGGAGAAAACTCTGATGGCAAGTGAGCAGAAATGAGAGAGCTGAAGTTACAGGCAGGTGTTGACTTAGTCATTAAAAGGACATTACTCTGATATGAGCTGGTCCTTTGGACCTCTGAAATGTGAAAGTATTACACAGAAAAATCTCTGAAACAGTAAATAAAATGGATTTTTTTGGTTTTCATTAGTCATAATTCTCATCTTAATTTTCCTGTAATTGTTAAACTAAGGGTTTTGTTGGTGTGAATCACATGAAGGATTGTGACACTTGGATTTTCCCCAAATTATGAAAAGGTCAAAATCTTTGAAAGAGTGAAAGAGAATGAAAGAGTTTTTTTGACTTGGAGAACAGTGCTTGAAATGAATCCGTGAAACAAATCAGCTCCTAATGTTAATTTAAATTTTATAGTTTTGTCTATCCTGTTCTCTTAAGATGAATTATTTTTAAGTATATAGCTATTTAATCTTAAAAACAACTTTATGGAGATTTCAAGAAAAAGTATTTCTATAGTTTGCTTTTTGTTTTTTTCAAAGAAATAAACCAAGCTGAGTATGTGTATGTCTGCAATCCCAGTACTCTAGGAGACTGAAGAGGAGGATTACAAGTCTGAGCCCATCCTGAACAATTTAATGAGAGCTTGTCTCAAAAGGGGGGAGGGGGGCTGGAAATGGGGCTCTGTGTGAAGACACTGGGTCCAATTTCCCCTACTGAATAAAAAAGAAACCAAACAGATACAGCTGATGCTCTTTTTGTGTTCCCAATTACCATCTCTTCTTCTTTGGAGACTACATCATCAATTGTGTGTTTATCATTCCAATAATTTTTAATACTTTTATTTCATTCCTGCATATCCATAAATTATATGACATTGTTTTACTCTTCTGAATCTTTATAAAATAGTTCTGTATGAGTCATTGGCCATCTTTTACTCAAAGATTTAACCAAATTGGCTAGCTTATACATTTTTACTGAAGCAAGTATTCTATTACATGAAAATAATATGTTTATTCTTCTCCAGAGGGATATTTAGCACATTTCTCATTTTGACTATTAAAAATGGTATTGTAATTAATTTTCATATATATATGAAACATATATAAATATATAAAATATATATATATATATCCTGGTAAATGTGCAAGAATTTCTGAAACTTCTACTCGAAACTGCATTCTCATCAGTAATAGAGAATTTCTGTTTCTTCATATCCTCATTACACTTGGTTTTATTGGACTTTTGCCCTTCTAATTGATATACAGTTGTGTTTTATCTTAAATTTAATTTGCATTTTTCTAATAGAGTTGAAACGTTTGGTTGACCATTTGGTTCTTCTGTGAATAGCCTTTTTATAATATTTACTATTTTGAAACTTGGCTATTTGTCTTTTTCTTTACTGGAATCTTTTTTTTTTTTGTACCAGGAATCAAACT